TTAGATTAATCAATCTCACTTTAAATTAATCAATCTCATTTTAGATTAATCAATCTCACTTTAAATTAATCAATCTCATTTTAGATTAATCAATCTCACTTTAAATTAATTGATCTCACTTTAGATTTGCAACGTTTTTGAACAGTTTATGTTTCAATCAACATTTTTTACCACACAGACAAAAAACAATTAATATTGCGCATGATGGTACAAATACATAAAAAATCAGATAAGTAAAGACTTGATTAAAGCCTTTTTCAATTATTACATATTTCACTTCTTGAAAGGAGGAGAAAGAATAAAGCGACATTTGAACGCTTTGGACTAACTATTAGACAAAATAGGGCACAAATGTATGTTGCTTTATTATGTTTAATAAAACGGGCCAGACGTGACTTAGTGGTTAGTGTGCCGGACTCTAAATCCTAATGTACATGGTTTGAGCCTCGTTGTCACAAAATCATGTTCTGCACCCTGTGATTGTTATTTGTTTAGAGTAGCCCAAACGGCGGGTGATATTTGTTTAGAGTAGCCCAAACGGCGGGTGATATTTGTTTAGAATAGCCCAAGCGGCGGGTGGTATTTGTTTAGAATAGCCCAAGCAGCGGGTGGTATTTGTTTAGAATAGCCCAAGCAGCGGGTGGTATTTGTTTAGAATAGCCCAAGTGGCAGGTGGTGTTTGTTTAGAATAGCCCAAACGGCGGGTGATATTTGTTTAGAGTAGCCCAAATGGCGGGTGGTATTTGTTTAGAATAGCCTAAGCGGCGGGTGGTATTTGTTTAGAATAGCCTAAGCGGCGGGTGGTATTTGTTTAGAATAGCCCAAGCGGCGGGTGGTAATTGTTTAGAATAGCCCAAGCGGCAGGTGGTGTTTGTTTAGAATAGCCCAAGCGGCAGGTGGTATTTGTTTAGAATAGCCCAAGCGGCAGGTGGTGTTTGTTTAGAATAGTCCAATCGGCGGGTGGTATTTGTTTAGATAGCCCAAGCATCGGGTGGTATTTGTTTATAATAGCCCAAGCATCGGGTGTTATTGACTAGCTTCCTTCTACGTAGCCTATCAGTTAAACTTAGAAACAGTTATAACACAGATCGCCTTTGTGTATTCTTGCGCGATTATACGAAACATGCAAACAATTAAATTAAATTATGAGTTTATACAGAGAAGAAATATTAGATTTGTACAAAAACAAAATATTAGATAAGTATCATTTAAATTGTTTTCGCGATGTTTCGATTTGTACAGCAACGAAATATTAGATAAATAACATCTGAAATGTTTTCCCAGTGTTCGTTCTCGAATGTAAAGTTGTGATAGTTCTTGTCTAACTAAGTAGTACATGTAGATATCACACTGCAGATTTTATATTTTATATATTTGGCCACCAGGGGATAACTTAACAGATGAACAACTTCTCTAATAAATTTCATTTTTCAGCTTAAGTTTAAGCTTTTAGTCAGAAGTAGTAATTAGAATATTTTTACATTATACGCCATGTTGAATTAGGCACTGCGGGATTACGTTTATAACCACATAACTCTGTAACACTAAAATATGGGGATGTTTTACGGTTACAGTACCTGAATGTAACACTAAAATATGGGGATGTTTTACGGTTACAGTATCTGAATGTAACACTAAAATATGGGGATGTTTTACGGTTACAGTACCTGAATGTAACACTAAAATATGGGGATGTCTTACGGTTACAGTATCTGAATGTAACACTAAAATATGGGGATATTTTACGTTTACAGTACCTTAATTTAATACTAAAATGTGCATAATAGCTCAGAGTTTATCGAAATTACAAAGGAAATCGTATTTTTGTGATGTATTCATTTTCTCAGATAACATAAAAAAAATTTCAGTTTCTAGTAAGTACAGTGTCAGTAATATTTGTTGGTGTTATAACCCAGAAGCAGAGCTTACTACATTAAACCCTTACAACCGGGTGGGCTGTAATCCCAGACAACTGCCGCCTAATATTCGATCGAACATCCTTCGCGCAGCATTTGGCCAGAGTTACGTATACCTCGGTACTCCTCAATTTTGACCAAAACGCTTCAGCATGTTTTAAAACAGTTTTACATCTGTTAAGAAGTTTAATTATTTCAGAAAATACAAATTAAATGAACTCTGGCAGAATCAAACAGATATTTTATTTCAAACTGTTTATGGGTATTTTTCTACTGAGTTCTAGAAAACCACAAAGTAGAGACTTCCTTACCTTTAGAGACTTTTTCGAGTATTCGTTCTTTATGTTCATCAGAGTGGGGTTCCCCAATCACCAGTAGGAGATAACATCCACCCGGAGGTGGAGGATCCGCCGGATCGGGGTCCATGGCAAGTAAGACTGGAGAATGAATGCTCCAGCTACGAGTCTACTTACCAATAGAATGGGCCGCGCTTGCGTTAGTATAGCACAATTTGCTGCAATAGCGCTGTCACGTGAGCCCTTCGGCTATGAACTCGGAAGTAGTCGGGCATACTCGTATACATAAAACGCTAAACTAGCTTCGGTTGTCATGGCTACCGACACGCTAAACGAAATGTAGCTGTCCGGTCTTAGCTCCAGTGCAGAATGTACAGTGACTGTCTATCTACTTAGCTTAAAACCTTACTATCTTTAATAAATTCTGCATCTTGTTACACCAGCAAATGAATTATTTTACTGGAAACAAAAGGAGTTGATTTACCAGCATTGCAGGTGCCACCTGGAACATTGTAGCGTTAAGATATACACACTTCTAATGTAGTCAGTTAAAAAATAATATATATGTATACACACTTCTAATGTAGTCAGTTAAATAACATATATATGTATACACACTTCTAATGTAGTCAGTTAAATAACATATATATGTATACACACTTCTAATGTAGTCAGTTAAATAACAGATATATGTATACACACTTCTAATGTAGTCAGTTAAATAACAGATATATGTATACACACTTCTA